TTTTTTGTTGTTCGAGCTGCCACTGTTGCAGGTTTTCTTGCCACTGCTGTTGTCTCTCTTCTTGTTTCTTTTCTTTTTCCTCCAACAACTGCTGGAATCTCTCTTCTTGTTTATTTTGCTGTTCGAGCTGCCACTGTTGCAGGTTTTCTTGCCACTGCTGTTGTCTCTCTTCTTGTTTCTTTTCTTTTTCCTCCAACAACTGCTGGAATCTCTCTTCTTGTTTATTTTGCTGTTCGAGCTGCCACTGTTGCAGGTTTTCTTGCCACTGCTGTTGTCTCTCTTCTTGTTTCTTTTCTTTTTCCTCCAACAACTGCTGTAATCTCTATTGTTTATTTTGTTGTTCGAGCTGCCACTGTTGCAGGTTTTCTTGCCACTGCTGTTGTCTCTCTTCTTGTTTCTTTTCTTTTTCCTCCAACAACTGCTGTAATCTCTCTTCTTGTTTATTTTGCTGTTCGAGCTGCCACTGTTGCAGGTTTTCTTGCAAATGCTGTAATCTCTCTTCTTGTTTATTTTCTCGTTCTTCTTGTTCCTTGTGCTGTTCTTGTATTGCTGCCATGAAGTCTGCTATGCTGTAGTTTGATTTGCCGCTTCTCGTTTCCATTTTTTTTGTCCCACTCTCTGACACCAATTTGTTATGTCTCCGTTTGTTAATTAACTTTCCGTAACTTCGTTCCGACGAAACTTTAGCGACACAAGTCCTTTCTTAATAAAACTGGTTTATTATTTCCGAATATAACTTTGCCGATACACTTATTTTCAACAGTCGCTCTATAACAAACACTATAACAACGAACTTCAACAATACGTCTCTCTCTGACTGCAGTTCAATTACTCACTACCTACACACACACATCGTCGCGCAACGTTGTCACCCTCTTATATATATACCAGACTACCCTATATCTAGTAATCTCCCGACTATTCCCGAAGGTTCGAGAGGTGGCGTGACAGTCACGTGACCTCGCTGACGCAACAATATATTAAAATGTCATGAGATAAAGTGAATGCTTAATATACTAATTATTCCTGCTTTTAATTTGCGAAAATTTTACTGATTCATTTTATAATTAACCCCGTAAATGTCAAGGTTTCGTTTTCCTAAACAAGTCATATTCCGGGATAAGTGAACGGCAAACCTTGATCAAATATCTTTAGTCAATTCGTCGTGTACTTGTTGAATAGAAGTGTAAGTCCGACATAAAAAAAAAATACTGTATGGTTTCACTATGTTTGTTAAAGAATCGTTGTGTGTTTTGTAATTAATGGTTATCTAAATAATGGACAAGATAGATTGCAAATACCCTATATGAAATAATTGTGACTCGGGCAAAAAATAACTGCGACTTGGGCAAAAAAATAACTGTGACTTGGGCAAAAAAATAACTGCGATTTGGGCAAAAAATAACTGTGACTTGGGCAAAAAAATAACTGTGACTTGGGCAAAAAAATAACTGCGATTTGGGCAAAAAATAACTGCGACTTGGGCAAAAAAATAACTGTGACTTGGGCAAAAAAATAACTACGACTTGGGCAAAAAAATATCTGTGACTTGGGCAAAAAAATATCTGTGACTTGGGCAAAATAAATATCTGTGACTTGGGCAAAACAAATATCTGTGACTGGCAGCTAAAACTTCGAAGAAAGTTTAACAACAAAACAATTCTAAGCAAATAAGTTAATTAATATAATGTAAATACGGAATGCGGCTAATTAATTTGTTTAAAAAATAAGAACATTGACAAACAGATGTAAAGGTTTATTGTTCCATAAAAGCAGTAAATGAGAATTTACGAGACATTTCAGCTTACCATAATAACAACTTCTGAGTGGTCATCGTCCGAACTTAGTCCACTCCACATCAGGAGGCCGAAGAAAAGATAAAACACAACCGAAAAAATGTTTCTTGGATCCGTAAAGGTTTCCACCAGAGGTATGGTCCCCATTGTCCAATCACAACACAGGTCGCAAGGAAATAACATCAGCCACGCGTTAACTGGCAGTAAATAGTTATACGTCAACTGCCGTGCTGGGACATCCGCCACAGCGGCTGGATTGTCGAACCTACAGATTACGTGAGAGTATTATAACAAATAGGTTACGCACTGGTGAAAGCCAAGTACTTAGTAGTATGCATGGTGGGGAGCTATATTATTATATTTCCACCGGGATAATACGGACTACTAACCGAGTCAGTCAGTGTATGGACTCAGTCTGCTCTGTTCTGTCTGTAAATGTTTGTACTCTACAAGAACAGTGTATTTACCCTTCAGTACAAACAAATTAAATTGTATGTCCCTCTCCTTATCGGCAATGCTTAAGTTCGTCAGGCCCTTCGGGTACCCTTTTTTTGGCTTGGGCCCCCACACAATTGCGGGGGCGTACTTACGCCACTGGTTGATTGTGACTACGTTTAAAAAATAGTATTTCATCAGTTTGTAAAAAATCTACTTGTCAAAGAAGAATACGTTTTACTCCTAAAGGTAGGCCGGTGAGTAAAACAGATTAGCCTACTTTTTTTACACAAAAAAAAATACTGTTCTATATTTCTCATGATTACTTAAACAGTGATTTTAGGCCAAAATATTTCAACGGATGAATTAGTACAATTTAACTGAGAAATCCAAAAAATGCACATACAATAATTAACTAAACCATTTATCGAAAACTAATATCAACATGATTCTTTTGTTTCTTGATTTTAGTTTTTGTTACATCGCTAATTACTTTGGTTTCATTTTTTTACAGAATTATTTCCAAGACAACTTACTTGGTGAATACGGGGAGTTGGGCGCCCATAACCCTCACTCTCCCGAATAAAAGTAACAAGGCACCAACAACAAGGATAACCATTCGAGTTACAGCTTCACGTAGCCAGGGAGGGGGTGGGGATTTGGAAGTCATCAGATTCTGAGATATACGGAGGATATCTGGAAGTCGTAACTGAAAGTAATAAATTTAAATACGTTCAGAAACATTTGCTACACTAACTATTAAATTATTTTGTGCAATTAATTAGAATGTTATTGCAAATTATCGCAGTTTCAAGTGTTCTATTGCTGTTTGTGACTGGGTCTTCGCCAAATGAATGCAAAACAACATATTCGATCACAAATGTTTTTCATACGCTAACTATCCCCCTCCCCCAACCAATGTAAAATATTAGTCAAATCCCAACTCCTCAGGATAAAACATATCAAATGATCACATACGAATGTTTCACAATTTTACTCGATCACAAATGTTTTTCATACGCTAACTACCCCCCTCCCTCAACCAATGTAAAATATTAGTCAAATCCCAAGTCCTCAGGATAAAACATATCAAATGATCACATACGAATGTTTCATAATTTTCTATGAACTTGACACTTCTTTATACTTTTTGAATACATTCAATTTTTCGAATCTTCCCGGGAGTCACATTCATAACCCCTGATGAATCAAGTCAAATGTCAAGCCAACAGGCCGCTTTAAACCTGCTGAGGCCAGTAGTTTTGACACGTCGAATTTTGAAAATCGAATTTTTTAAGCTTCGAATATACACGCATAGTTTTTTAGCATAGGTGGCTCGAAGTAATTAAATGATCATTCACGAGATTAAATGTATTTTCAAAAAGCATTTAACAAGATGCCACATAAAGGGCTTGTAAAAAATATCTCTATAGGTGTGGGGGATAAGTTAGCAAATTGGATAGAAGAGTAGCTGGATGGAAGAAAGCAGAGGTTTGTTACAAGTGGAGTTCAGTCAAACTGGATTAATGTCAAATCTTACAGGATCAACGATAGTGTGTAAAATGTTCGCAAAAATCCATATTATTGTTCAGCTATCTTTATTAATACCACGAAATTGGGATTAAATGTTAAATTTTCTCGAGGGATTAACTCTTCGTCCAAAGATTGGAACCAAGTTCTCATTTACAGTTAGTATAATTTGCGTTTACTTCGTCCTAGTAAACTTGTAATTGTTGGTTTGCGCACGTCATTTGTACTAGTATTTTTGTATTCCGTATATCAACAATGAAAACAACAGTGACGTCAATAAAACTTGTTTTTACAAAATAAAAAGATCGTAAATGTTTAATGTAACAAAAAATCAATGAAACCAATACAATTATGATCCAGAATTAATAAAATATAGGCATGAATATTAAAAAAAAGACATAAAAAATATTACGTTTGATCAAAATACTTGTGGAGGCTCTGACGAGCCGTCTCTGCACAGTGCTACTCTCATCACGAAACCGGTTGTAAAAAAATTGTGCATAAAGCTCATTCTAAATTTGGATTTTCATTTTCTTTCATAGATGGGCATGATAAATAATTTATAAAGACTATATGACAGAAGTTGGTTGAATGAGTTCATCATTATGTTTTGGAATTTGGAGATAATATTCCATTTTTCATTAAATTAATGGTAATTTTCGACCTAGGTACCATAGGTTCTATTAAATTGTTGGTATAGGCGTATGACCATTATGGAAAACTGAAAGGCTAACTTCAGGATATAAGGTTTATTTATAATATCCAGTGGTTGTATTGTAGTAACTTGTTTTTATTATAATTATTTTTTATTAGGAGCAACTATCTTTCCACAAATGGTTATAGACAGCGGTAAATCTACGGTCTTACAACGCTAAAATCCGGCGTTCTGTTCCTCGCGGTGGATACCGCAGATAGCCCAATGTGGCTTTGCTCTAAAAAACCAAATATAAAAAGCAAACAAACTTTGAATGGTAGTTTTAGATGTGGGGTTCAAATAAAGTGAGAGCAAGAAAACGATGCAGCAATGTTGGTCCTACCTTACAGATACCTCTCTTACTAAGATACTTTTTTATCATTCTCAGACTGTAGTTCGTATCCTAATTTTCTTAGCTCATCTTTAATTGGCAACGCTCTTTGTTTTTGAGTTGTATCCGATATATCCATACACAGACAGTCACATACAAATAGTTCACAAAACAAGTCTGATAACTTTTGGGCTAGCCTAGCCTAGTACTAAACTCTGAATTTCAAGGACTATGATCCGCATTCTGTTGCCATAAAATCATTCTCCGCGCCTTGGAGACGTGAATTCGCTAAAAGTGTGGTTTGGTTTGTTATCAGTTTCGCGTAAGGATATTTGAGGTGTATGTGCGCTAACCGTGCATAATTTTGAAGTTACAGATTAGAGGGCAGGCAGCTACTCAACACTACCCACCGCCAACTCTTGGGCTACTCTTTTACCAACGAATAGTGGGGTTGACTGTCACATTATAAAGCCCCTACGTCTGAAAGGGCAAGTATGTTCGGTGACGGGGATTGTAACTCGCCACTCGCAGATTGCGAGTCGAGCGCCCTAACCACCAGACCAGGATACGTTAAAAAAGTGACAGTCAACTTTCATTATGCTGTTAAGTAGTTGCTTTTCCTCTATCTAGTCTATCACTTCAAAATTCACTTCACAGATAGGCCTTGTGTAGCTGTGCAAAAAATTCCGAAACAAACAGAAAAGAAAAATACCAACCAAAGGCAAACGCCCACCAGAGAAAAGGTGCTTATTATTATACACAAGCTGATAGTTTTCACAAAATAGTCTCAAATGTCACCTTGTTCTAAAAAAAAACACCTTTGAAGCTTAAACGAAGAAAAACGCCGAATAAGATGGAAACCGATTGTAAAAGTCAATGGTACATTGGATTAAATGTACTTGACCTAAACACATTATCATTTTCTGTGCTTTATCGCACACACAATATTTGGTTTCAAATGTTTTGACGTGGCAGATAACTAAAAAAACTACAGAGATTCTTAGACGTCACCAGAAAACTAACTAAGCTGAGTAGTATGAAAAACCTAAAAACGAAAACGTCGTTTCGACACACCACTTTATCGCAAACAAGCCGTACACACACGTATTACATCCTTTAATTTAGCCTAACCATCTGCTAAGAAGAAAGGTTATTTTATTATTAAAGCGAAGATAATATAAAGTGGCACACGTAAAAGCACATTGTGAATTTTTGCACTACCTCACGTCAAAATCGTGAAGAGTGTTATTAATGATGACAAACTATCACGAAATTAAATTCTAGAAGTCTGTATTTTCATTACTTTTCTTCTTTGTTAAGTAAGCCTAGTGTCTAGGTGAATAAAAAAAAACTAATACCATAAGCCATAGTTACGGTGACAATGTCCGAATTAGAAAACCGCCTTTTTTATTTGACGACAATAAAACGCTGCACAATATGCTTGCTACCCGTGCTGTGCCCACAGCAGGAATAATTCAAAATGTTACCGTTATAAGCTCTCAAGAAATCGAATGTATGAGAATAAAAGTAAAAAATAACTAGCAAACTGACGCGGAATAATTCAACTTATTTTTCAATTTTAGTAGCTATGTTGTATATTTCTCCAGGCCTGAAAAGTATTAAAATTATCTTAACAGAATAAGGAACAATTTTTTCCTTACTGGAGATAATTTTCTAACTGTTTTTTTTTTTCACACTAAGTATAGCGATCAAAGTTCAGGTTCTATTCTTTCTTTTTATTTCCATTACTGGATATGGTGGTAGTACGCTCATATTCTGGTTGAGAGCTGTTTTATAACTGAATTTCAAGAGATTCTTGCATTCTAAAGTAAAATTCTTCTCGAGAATGAAGAAAGACACGGAAAAGAATGGAGTTAGACATAACACGAGCCCCCCAGTGGCACAGCGGCATGTCTGCGGAATTACAACGCTAGAATCCGGGTTTCGATACTCGTGGTGGGCAGAGCACAGATAACCCATTGTGTAGCTTTGTGCTTAATTACAAAGAAACAAACATAACACGAACATTCGTTTATTAAATGGTTGATAATAATTCTGGCGTTGTAGATTCTAGCGTTGCAGTGTTTTTATTCGACTGCAGAGCCTTTTAAAGGTGAACTAAACGCTAAGTATAAATAAATATTTAACTACGTTTTCTATGGCTCTGTAATAAGCTTGAGAGCTTCTAACACAAAAATTCGGGGCTCAATTTATGATGCGGGTACAGCGTAGTTAAGCACTTGTGCAGCGTTGCGCTTAACAACAAGCTAAAAACATATTTTTAGTTCCCGTCCTTTATGTTGTTCCCACAGTGAACATTTATGACATGATTGATTTTTTTACCTGAGCTTTAAAAATCTAACCACATATAAAGATCGTATCTGGGTAACGTATCAGGTTACAACTGATAATGAGAACTGCCTAATGTAAAAGTGGACTTACAGTTGCAAATGCACAAAGTTAAGACCTTGACAAGCATATTTGAAATGGGCAAAACCTGTACAAAGACAGTATAATTATCAAATAAATACTATTCACAATCACATAATCACAGCGATTGTCTGCCAGCGTGTATATTATCTGTCTCATATTTTTTCTTTATTTTCATGATTTTGTGTAAAAAACTATCAACCGTATTTTCGCTATATTTTGCTAAATTTGTATTTTCCAATACAAATTATCTGCTTAATTTATTATCTGTTTTCTTGTATTTCTCAAAATGTCAAATAAAATAACTCACCGTGAAAATACTACGCCTTAATTCAAGGTAGGGTTTGTTTGTTTGTTTGTTTGTAATTAAGCATAAAGTTACAAAATGGGCTATCTGTGCTTTGCCCACCACGGGTATCGTAACCCAGTTTCTAGCGTTGTAAGTCTGCAGACATACCGATGTTCCATTGAGGGGCTCAAGTTAGGAAAGCAGTGTAATTATACAACATAGTAAAGTAACGTAACTGATTCATTCAGAAATATATCGGCTCTAGGGTCTCATTGTTTGGGGGGAGAGGTGTATTTTGAGGGCTCTCTAATGTAGAGATGTATTAAACTAACGACTCAGCAGATATAGGAGGGAACATACAGCTACAATTTCCACTGCTTAATATTTAATAACTTTGTAAATTTTTGTGATTTTGACTAGAATTTGTGGGCCCCT